AAGGCAGGGTGGGGTAGAGATGGCAAAAAACCGGTCCCGGGCCGGTCCCAATCGGTTCTCATCTTTCTCATAACCGGTCCCGGCGTAACCGGTCCCGGTCCCGGTCCCAACCGAAAATGATAGGACCGGTTAAGGTACTTCATAACCGGTTATTGGCCGTCGGTCTCGGTCCCGGTCCCAACCGGTCCTTGCATTAAAAAAATAAGATTTTTTTTAATGATATATATTTTTAATATATTATAAAATTTACAATTAGGTCACTCAAATACACTTTAAAAATGTGTTTTAATATAATTAAAATTACGTTTTATTATAAAAATACATTATAAAATTATTTAAAAATACATTTATTTATAAAATTATTTGAATTTTCGGGCCGGGCCGGTTCATAGTCGGTCCCATAACCGGTCCCGATCGGTCCCACGAAACTACCAAAAACCTCAACCGGTCCCGGTTTTCGGTCCCATAACCGGTCCTTACCGGTCCCGGGCCGGTCCTTTGTCGGTCCCGGTCCCGGTCCTCCGGCGGTCCCGGGCCGGGCCGATTTGGCCATCTCTAGGGTGGGGTGAAACGGTGGGGGGTGGGCTAAAGTGGAGCAGTGGGTGTGATTACAAAAGTAGTGGTATGGTGGTTAGTGGTGGAGTAGGGTGTGGGTGGTGGCAACAATAGTGATGTGGGGTCAGGAGTGAGGCATGACGAACAATAGTAGCATGGTCGTCGCGGGTGGTGATGAAATTCAATTCCTTCCATTATACCAAACACTGATGAATTCATTAATTTATGGAATTTGAAGTATCCTATCCATTTCAAGAAATGAACCAAGTAAATGAATTAGAATTTGTTCAAAAAAATTTGTCATTCCAATTCCATCAAATTCCTCCGAATTCCACGAACCAAATAACCCCCAAGTGTTATTATTATTCATAACAGTTGAATTAAAATAGATAAATGATCAGATGGCTTCCTTATTTTCCTTCTTTTAGGGTTGAACATCTCTATCAAATTCTCTAAAATAGAGAAAATAAAAATTTTATGCTTTATTTTACTTCAATAGATTATTAATATTGTTCTTTAAAATAGAGAAAACTCCAGATTTAGAGAATTTTTCTAAAATAAAATGTGAGGAGAGAGAAACGTTTTTTTGTCAATCATTTCCCACAAATGAGATTAAATTATTATTAATTTATATATATATTTTTTTTAAAATGTATTGGATAGTAAAATTATATAATATTTTAATATTATAATTAAAGTTAAAATCTGTAAAATAGAGATTTTTTTATTATTATCCTGCCCCTATGTGAGCCGACTAATTCCAGGACTACCACCTGTTTTGTAGATAGTCCGGAGCCACAAGAGGATTTTTATTTCTCATTGGATTTGAACCTTGGACCTTTAGGTACTTTTGACCTTTAGAGCCAAGCTCAACCAATCAGGCACCACCCTTGTGGTTAAATAGAAATTTTTTGGAGCCTGAGTGTAACTGTTCTTTTAGAAATTTTAACTTTTGATTTATATTTTAGAGAAATTATAAAGAATTTGTCATGCCTCTTAACATGTAAGATTTTTTGAGACTGTTTGGTTGGTTTTTCATTACAGTTTTGTATGGATAAAACTGTCTATGTAGATTGTGAAGGTTTTTGTTTAGAAATGTTTTCTCATAGATGAAATAAACATGTTTTTTAATTGGCAGGGGCAATTTTGGAAGAAACTTCGCTTTCTACATAAAACTCTTTCTTAAAAGGTTACCAAATAAGCCACTATCTACATCATTAAACCACTAATAAACAATGATACTAAAATGCGAACAAATGAGTCCTTAGTCCTTGATATTTGTTATTGAAGTGTTTATGAAGGTGATTATTTCAAATATGGAATAACCAATCAAAATTCGTTCCGAACTTTTATGGAAATTCTTCATATTTTATTATTATTATTATTATACTAGAAGAGTACTCGCGCAATGCAGCGAGATACATCGTGTTTTTAATATTTCATTTTATTCTTTATCTCAGTCGATGTTATAATATGACTTTATGTGATTTTGAGAAAGCGATGATGTTTTTATTTTTGAATAA